ATATACATGTGTAAATTTCAAATCTCTTTCCAATGAAAAACCGCTCTGCTAGGTAAAATCAAAGATGATAAAATCGTCCTAAAATTTTCAGAAAAAAAAACGTGTGCATTGACGGGTCGTATTGAATCAGCTTTTGATGTAGGCCAAGTTAATCATATAATTCTAGATGCACTTAAGAAGTGAAACTCTGAAAAACGTTTTAAAATTTTTTTTATGTACTTAGCTGACTCATGTCTATAAAATAAAAGCAAATTTTTAGGAAGTTCCTAAGAAAAAGAAAATTATGATAATGATAAGAAAGAAGAAGGGGGGGGGGGAAATCAGATCTTTCTCCAAAAATCCATAGACGTCAATTATTCACTCTTTCGGAGAGGGATTGGGGAGGGGGGAGGGATCTGTGGCAACGCAGTCTGAAAAAATTACGCACTTTGAAAAAAATTTTCAAAGTGCGTTAAATTTTGGACAAAATCAACGCACTTTGAAATTTTTTTTCAAAGTGCGTTAAGAGTGTACATCAACATTTTTTACCATGGAGACACTTAACGCACTTTGAAAAAATACTAATAAAACAAAAATTCTGGACTTAGATTTTAATAATAGACAGTATTAATTTGTTATATTTCTTCCGAAAAACTGATGAATTGATCTACCCTCATAGAGAACGAGGAGAGGACAGGTAGAGAATCCCTCAGCCCAACTCTCTATCTTTCCTACACAAATATATGTACTACATAACTGGTATGACATTGATATTATTTCTCTCAATAAATTTGAGTTAACGTAAAACAGATGAAAAAATTGAGATAAGCTTTCCTGATAAAAAAAAAAAAAAATACGCACCCTATTATATTAAAGAAGAGAGCCGCATAATCTTTATTCAAAATGTATCCACAATGATTCCTCAGAAAAAATGCATTTACATGGTAATTAAAACATGGTAATTGACATGTCTAGCGTTTTTAAGATATCAAATTACAGATTTAGGGGTAATCTGACTGCATAACTTTTTTGAGAAAAAGTTATTAGTGAACGAGGCTAAGGTTTATTTCCTTACTATCAAATAAATGAGTCAACCATTGTTTCATATATGTTCACAATAGATAGATAGATGAATATGACAGAAAAATTGATGAGAGAAAGAGAGAGAGAGAGAGAGAATTTTCATGGTATGGAAAAATCATAATTGCTCCCTTTTCCCTAAGAAAATGCAATGCTTTAAGTCACTTATTGACACCTACATCTACCGAACTTATTAGAGACTGGATAAAATTTAAAAAAGAAACGAAAATGTGCTATTAAACAATCATTCCTCCATTATTTCTAAGACCCATTTCCCTTTTATAACAGTTACGAGAACCTTTGGAAACAAGACAACTCCTAAAAATCTTTAAAACGTCTATATCTCAGATCCTGACGTCATCACCGAAAACTTATCCAACAAGGTTGAAAAAATTATTTATCATACCCAAAATTTGCAAGAAAATTGACCAAGCCGTGCACATTTTTTTTTTCAAAGTGCGTTAATATGGTCGATGTTAACGCACTTTGAAAAGATTTTTTTTTCAAAGTGCGTTAACGTGGTCCCAAAATTAACGCACTTTGAAATTTTTTTTCAAAGTGCGTCAATTTTCAAAGTGCGTTGTAACAGGGCTTTGATTTGAACAATAACGTAATACTAAAGTCAGGGAAGTATTAAACTGAAGACTGAATATTTCGGAATTATCGTCCATTTTTCATTGCCGCATTTTCCCAATAGATTATTGTCGAATAATATTATCATATATTTATTCATTTAATCATGTACGGTTGTTTATACCCTATGCATTAGCTTTCAGTGGTTCTGCTTGGCAAATCTTTCAGCAAAAACATCAAATACGCCAGCAATACTCGTTGATTGATTATGTGTAAAATTTAGAAAGTGGTTAACGTGTCATTTATATACCCCAGGGATTAATGCACCTTGATTGTCTTTGAGAACTGAATTGGTGATTTTTTTTTTACTCTTGTTCAAGGTTGGAGCTGTGATCGGGCCAATTACATTGCTTCTGAGTATATAATGAAAGGTTATGTTACGTATTTTTCATTTCTGCAATGCTATTTGTGATGTATAAGCACACTTTTAAAACAATTATTATTTTGAGGATATTGCAGGTAGCTTCTTGCTTTTCTTTAGTCCTACTGACTGCATTGCTCATAATCAGTGAATTAGGATAAAAGGAGAGTTTCTTTTTTGCTTCCTTGTATTGGTAGTGTTATTTTGTTCTCGATTCATTTCTAAATCGTCGATTAATCGATGCTTTCTTTAATGCAAATTTGATTTTAATGGCGGTTACTTGGTTGCATTATCACGCCATGTATGAGAAATCGACTACTGAATGTTAGCGCATTCTAATATCCAAGTTTTCAAAAAATAACAACCTATCGAAAATATATCATATAACTCATTGTACCTAACACCCCAGATCAATGTGAGATATTCTGATATTCTTAAATTTACATAATATTTTTAAACGGTTCAAATACGGTTGCTGAATTACAACGAAGGTATGAGGCATCATGCAGATAAATACCCTCAATTTTCGGATATGTATGAAATGCATATTAAATATGTTCCAAATGCATGTTTAATTACATGATTGTTATTTAATTTCGTTAATAAATTTGTATCACGAAAAAAGAACAAATGATTTTTATTTCTTTCAACTGAAATGTGTTTTATTGGGGTTTTTTTTTGGGGGGGGGGGATGGGGGTATTTTTTTTTTAATTTTTATTTATTTATTTATTTATTTTTGAGTTTTTCCCTCGTTTATATATGGCTATCTGACGTATCAAGAGTTTAAAAGTTTGGAGGATATGACTATATTAAAAACATATATTGCAGGAAATATATTATTGCGATAAAGTAATGAAATCATCCATCGTTTAATCTAAGTTGTCGTTTTCTTTATTAGATGATACACAATATTTTTACACTAGGTGAGGCGCTCAAAGGGTAAACGATTGGTCAGGATCCTTTACCTCTTGAAAAAGGAAGTCATTACGAATACATGTTTATGGTGATTGTGTAAATTCTGCTGATTGACTCAATGACGTAAATATCCATTCATTGATAATAAATTTAGATATATATGTGATGGTGTATAACAGTTAACGGTCATTTTCAGATTCCTTTCTACATTGTTACATTGATATTGGAAAATATATCTAAGTTCAATATCCATACACTTAGTACGTGAATTCAATCGTAGCTCAATTTTGTTCTTTTGATATGGATTTTTTTTTCTACTCTCTCTTTTATGATTGAGGTTTAAGGTAAGAAACTACGATTGAAAGTTATTTAAAAAATAATTTGAGAAGTTATAAAAATGTTCAAAAACTCTTCATTTAAATTTGAAAATTTCCATATATAAATGTCAAACAATATTTATTAAGCAGAGACCCTAAGAGGGGGGGGGGGGTAGGTTGGACATTTGATGGACTTAAACTCATTCGCAATTATACTCTAACTCAAGCCTCTTCAATAAATCTTTTACAAATGATCATCAGAACGTGAAAGACGTAATAGGCAAACTATTTTCTAAATACGTGTGATATATATTTCATATTGTGATTGGTAAAGAAAAAACAAGAATGTTTTTGATAAAAAAGAAAAAAAAAATCAGCATGATATTGATAAGATGTGTCAGCATATATTGTTGGCTTAGTTGTTCATTAACTGGTACATAGACTTAAGACAATGTCAAAGAACATGATTGGTATGGATATAACTTGTATGAAAAAGCACGTTCTGCACTAAGAAATATATAAAAACCAACAGAATAGATAAATAACCTTTCAGCAAGATTTAAATGTTATTGTAGGAATGAGTCCGGATTCTCTCCATAACTCATTACCATTTTGTAAATCCCTGTTGGCCTTAGTTTAATGTGCACCTTATTCCAGAAATAACTTCCGGTGTGTGAAGCGTGAAGAGATCAATCTCTATTACTATCCGGGTTCTCAGACTCGCGCAGCCGTAATGCGTTTCTTCCAGGTAGATTCTGACAAGTGAATTCATCTTCCACATAACTAGGGTCGAGTTGACAACGTCTTTAGCACAATGTTCCTATGCCTGAAAAATTGCACATTTGTAACATATAATCGTGCGTCTTAAAATTCTTCAATTAGCGTAGATGGCATAAGCCAATGGCCATAAAATGTCATTGAGAAAGTCTTTGATGGTTTTAGCATTATTTATCGTGTTGGTAGGTAATATCGCAGGGCCCTTAATTGACATTTCAACAAAATGTAATTAACAAAAACAATAGTTATTTTGACATTTAATGCTCATTTAAAAGATATTCAGGTTTTAATTGTACTCGTGCTGGAAACATATCAAACAATTAAGCATATTCCTCCTCGTAAAGACAAGATCGGGGCCTTGATAAATACAAGTGGGGAAATTAATAGGTTATACATTTTTCTCGTCATATCAAACATTTTGCAAAGTCCGGTTACATTTTCGGAAAAATCAAAACTACTGAGCTTTTATTTTTATTTTATTATTTTTTTTTTTGGGGGGGGGGGGGCATTTATTCTGCTTCTCCTTTTATCTGAAAGTGCAAACCTTATATACTTTTTAAAATCATAGAAAATATTAATGAAGGATTCATTGATATCTTTCAAGATCTTAACTAGAACTTATGTTCTTCTCTCTAAACCTGTTCACGATAAACGTCAGCACTACTTATAGATGGAGATGGCATCATTAAAAAAATCACACATCCAATCTCAACGTAATTACTGGAGAAAAATGCGTTAATTTCTTAATACATTTATAGTACTTTAATTAGCACCTGCTTAATTTTAACCAATTACAATGTACTGCAATCACGTGCAAATAATTCTTTATTACAACATACAGTCATATTTATATCGCCACTTTGCAGAGACTGAACATTAAATATCGGAATTCACACCTACAAACTTCTTTATTTTTCAGAATTCAAGACCTTATAAATTTAGATCACTTTGACATCCGAACAGAAGTTATCTCTAAAGTCGTCTCCTACGATGAACCTCGTTTTACTAGGACAATTAGAAGAGCTTAAGAGTGAAGGGATGACTGGAAACGAGAGTTACCTGGACTACGAACCTGATGATGAGACTGTGACCTCGCTGATACACTTGGCCCAGATCCTCTATTTCTACTATATACCTGTCATAATTTGTCTTGGGATATCCCTCAATACTATTGTGTGCATCGTCCTTCTCAGAACTAAACTAAGGAAGAAGTTCTACACACATGTGTTTGCCGCCACAACCATCAGTGATAATGGCTTTCTGGTGACGGTTCTGTTGATCTGGATGAAGGACCAAGCGGTTGATATTTACAAGGCTCCTGGAATGTGTCAGATGATCATTTTTATGAGTCATTTCTTTCCGTTTCTGTCTTTCTGGCATAGTGTATCAGCAAGTATTATTCTATTGATACGTCCGCGTTCCTCGTGTTTAACAAACACGTGTAACGGGCCGGGGAAGTCCAGGGCTTTAATTGTCTCTCTGTCTATTTTTACATTGACAATATATATTTACAAAACATGGACAAACGGTGTGTTGATTATTCAAGGAGCTCGATACTGCACTATCCTACCGGAAACGGAAGAAGCCATGAAAATATTGAATATTCTGGATGTGATAGTCTTACTTGTTTTACCTTTTATTATGTTCATCATTTTTGACTTACTGATTATCATCAAACAAATTATGAAGTTCTATCTTGCCAACTCCTTTAATGGATCCAGTACATATCGAGATTCTTTAAAAGTTGTTTTGGTACACTCCATTTGTTTTCATGTATTTGTAGGACCAGGGTGTATCTCAAAACTCATTTTACTGTTTCGCTATATGTCCGGAAATGAACACTATGATTATGAGGGAATGATCCTGGAGAGTATATTTCAGTATGTATTCTACACTTATTTTGGCATAAAACCTCTTTTCCATATCATCGTTTCAAAATCCTTACGAGTGCATCTGAAAGAACTGTTATTAAAAGCGAAACAAACCATGTCAATGTCCCGGATGTTGATGAATGCTGGATCACATGATCAGACCTTACTGTAGATCATTTTTGTTCCTATGTATGAAATAAATGTCATGGTGCCTTTCCAGTGTAAAATATTCCTATTGATAAAAACAGTTGGTAATTCGATGAAATCAGTTGAATACGCAACATCCGAGGCCAAACTAAAACCAGAACTTCACCTTGTATCTGAGTCGATTTGTTGGAGACTGTTCTATAGAAGTAACCATCCCTCAAAGAGAACGAAAGATATGCAATTTACATATCACGGAAAAAATTGCAATCTTTTATCTTGTTAGCATTGTGTCAGGGTTAGCATCAGAATTATGAAATTACGAAATTAATGGTTACGAAAATCATTCTAATGTTTAATTTATACAAATCAAAATAACTTTTTTGCCTTACGTTGTATAAAACTGTTGCTGCACTCATTTCCTAAAATTTCTGTTGTACATAATGTTTGACAGTAAATGTTAACACACACTTTCGTTTTTGTTTTTGTTTTTTGTTTTGTTTTGTTTTTTTATTTATGAAATAATGTAAGAGGTATTTGAAATAGATAGAGTCGGTGGTTACAACAATAGAAATAAAAGTCTGTCCTCTTTTCAATCTGAGTCTCATTAGACCATATGAAATAGAAAAGCGGTGCCTATGTATCTACAAACAAAATCACCTTTATGTAATCCTAGTGATCTGGCTAGGCTACCACATTAGTTGTAGTTAAAACATAACAAAGACAAAGTATATTGAGTGAGAATTGTCATTTATTAAATGACAATAAGTATATAACACAAATAAAGTTAAGGGGAGATCACCGGGATATTTCCTTAGTACAAAGAACAATAAAATTGGCAATGGTATCTCCCCTGTTGCAAACAATCATCATTTCGGCAAAATATTTTGACAAATAAAAAGTACATAAACAACAAATTTGTCAAAACAAAAAGCTGCCACATGGCAAGTAAGATGGCACAAGCACAAAGAACATAATAATCAGATTACAAAGATAAATAAAGTTGTTTTAATGATGGAGTAGGAAGGGGGACGGAGGGTGGGTAAATTTCTCAAAACAATTCTGTTAACTTGTTTACACTTCTAAATCAGTGAAAAGACGCTATCTTATGTCACATGATTTGAGTAAGGACTACGATTGGATAATAAAAACTTTTTCCCCAAGGGGAATGCTAATAACACAATAAGACTCAAACAAACAAGGAAACTTCTATACATCACATATTACATAAAGGCTATTATTTACAATAATGCTGTAAAATTCCCTATGAACTTCTTGAAAATTCTCCATATACAACCAAAATGTTAAAATTTGGGTCAATTTTTCGCGTGGATAATCCTGTATTTTAAGGCGACTCGTCAGTTGCAGATTTTTTCTGATGCCTACCTTGAATGTAAGATTGATTGATTGATTGATTGTATATTGTTTTACGTCCCATTCGAGAACTTTTCACTCATATAGAGACATCACCATGTAATGGTGAAGGGTTTCAAATTTTGACCTTTACTCGGCACTCGGGGCCATTGAGCAGTGAGAGATCTTTATCGTGCCAACGCCTGCCGTGACGCGGGCCTCGGTTTTTAAGGTCTCATCCGAAGTACCCGCAACTTTCACTTCAAAGTGCCGAGTGCATGGCGATGGAACAGTTGCTACCCATTTTTTATCGACTTAGGTCAGTCGCGGCCGAGATTCGAACTCACGACCTCCCGATCACGGAGCGAGCGCTCTACCGACTGAGCTACCATGAACGGTTTGAATGGAAGAAGAAATATCGCTTTGGTTACGGTTTTCTCTCATCCCGACAAAATATCGTGTCTATAAACTTCTTTAGGAGTCATTACTCATTTCCAATATATTGTTGCCCAAGACCTTCTGTTGTTTCATGAACCAAGGTCAAACCTCAATGTCATTAGGCAATGAGATGCTGCAGTTGGGTCATAAATTTGGCACTCTTAATTATAGAAGCAATTTATACCTTAGTATGATGTTTTTGACCAAAGCATTCTTCATAGTCTTGATGTAAATTAGATTTCATTGGTCAAAATGACCAGACAGTGAGGTGAATTGAGAATGTTCTGACCCCTGGCTTGAATGTTGATTAATGTCATATGTCAAAGGCCAATTTCAGTAGCAAACTAATGTGAAATCAAATCTTACTGATTCTAGAAGTGGTGTAAATCAGATATGAATGTTCAAGAACTCCAAAGAATTTTAGAAAATTTAAAATCATCAAATGGTCAATAACATCAAAACGTACGACTTCTCTACACTTTGTACAATCAATTATAACGTCAAATTAAAAATCAGGCTTTTTGATATCACAGATAACTGCTTCTTCTAAAAGTGGAGCTCGGAAATTTTCCTGTCTTGTGATTGGTCATCAACATATGACTTTGTTAAAAATCACCCTAATTCTACACAAAAGTACGCTGAAGTTGATATTAAAAGCATGCTTGAGTTTTTCATTGACAACATTTATATATAGTCTTCGGAGACCAGGTATTTCAACAAACTGTTGGAATTACGATGGACACGAATTATGCTCCTGTTTTTTTTTTATTCCTACAAAGCAGAATTTATTCAAAAACTTCTACAGGAGAAGAAAACACTTGCTGGGGCCTTCAACTCGACACTCAAATATATCGCCGGCTTCTACATCTGTTTCATATTTGAATGTTTTATTGACTATAGACGACAAGAGCCAACTAACAAATGAATTGTATGACAAAAGAGATGACTTCAACTTTCCCTATTTATATAGTAATATTTCGCAATTACCTGCATATGGTGTTTATGTCTCCCAACTTATTCGATACTCACGGGCATGTTCTGAGTACGATTAATTTTTAAACAGAGGTTACTAGCAGATAAGTTGACATTACAGGGATTTCGGTGGAAGTCAACATTTCGCAAATTCTATGGTTGTTATAATGCTCTTGTTCGTAAATATAACCTATCAATGGGTCGTATTATGGCTTAGGTGTTTTATACCAATTGCTAGGCTTTTCTTTTAACATTCAATTTGACTACGGAATTTCCCGTCTACCTGATCAATACAAAGGACTCACGGCGGGTGTGACAGGTCAAAAGGGAATGCTTATTCCTCCTAGGCACTTCGTTATTTTCACCTTTTTCACCTTTTTCAATAACTTTCTAACCATTTATTGAATATATTCAATCCTTCATTTGTTATAAACCACTGCGTAGAAATATGTTTTACATTGACTCTGTGAAAAATCATCAGAATCAGATAGTAAAAGTCGGAGTAAACTGGGGGTTGGGGGGTTGGGGGGGTTATCCTTTTTGTCTGCAGTTATTGCCAATCTTTACAGTTCAGTCGTTTGTCTCTGGAAAAAGGAACACTTCTTGGTCCACAAAGACGGTACTGTTTCAATACAAATCTAGTTCTGTTTTTTTTTTTTCAATATAAATTCTTTGTGAGAAATTACAACTCATGTCTTCTGAATCGTTCAAAATCTATGCAGTAAGATCATGAAATTGTTTTTCTTACATGAACTCCTATGTGCTAATTGTGACGTTATAAAGTTGTGCAGTTTCCCGTATTTTCTTTGAAAAGTTACAGTTGTGATTTTTTTTCTCAAAGATTTTTACACAACACATCCGAGATACTCATATATTTACTGATATTGAAGCAAAATTAAAAACGTTTTGAAAAAAATAAATTTTTAAGGAATAATAAGACCAAAACCGTAATTTTTCTTTTCATTTTTTAATGTTCCATTTCCACGTGCTTTAATTGCACGTTATGAATCTTCACATTGAATATTGAATGCTGTTTATTGTCTGCTTCTGTGTCACAATTGGCTGAGAGTTGCCCAGTAATATCAGACATTTCGAAAATAATCTATTTTTAAAAATCCACAACATCAGTAATTTAACATGCGTGATCAAGATCTTTACGAAACAGTCACAAGAGTTCCACGTCATGATGGTTTAATAATCACTTTGATAAATGACACATAACGAAGACACAATCTTAATATAATGATAAAACTATTTTTCTTTAATTAGCACCATCTTAACCAATTATTTAAAAAAAAATCAACATTTCATAGTAAATAAAAATTGTAGAGGAATTTTTACCAATGGCAAAAATTTTAGACACCATAACATGAAGAAAGCAATGTTCAAAGGGAGGTTATGGCGCCTACAACAATAACAATTTATCATCAGTGGATGTCATTTTACAAATTGTTGCATTATTTTCCTTATTAAGATAAAACAAAATAAAGGAGAAGAACGAATGAAAAGACAAAGATTATTTAATCTGGTATTCCCTTTATATTTGACTGATGGTGCTCTTTCACAGAAAAAAGATATATAATTTTATTTCATGTATATTCTATTTTGAATGCAAGTGTAGAATTTAAAACCGTTTTTCACTGCAGTTTGATCAAGCTTACCATATTTCAACTTCGGGATTTAAATTTCTTTTATTTGATGTCCATTTTTTATTTTATAAATGGAGCTTTTGTGGGGGAAGGGGTTGGGGGAAGAAAATCCCACAGCCAACATCTGATTTAAATATAGGCTAAAGTCTTATATTATTTTTTTCTCTTCCTCGTCTGAATCTTAAAGACAAGAGGTTAAAGAATTTCCTGTTGTTCAGCCGCTTGCAATACCCCAGAAAGTAATTACTTGCCATGGGAATATGAAAGACCTTAACAAATAATGTTGCAGTGAGCATAAAAAATGGTATGGAAAAGATGGACAAAATGACTTATGTTGTTCGGGATATGTCTTTAACCTTTAGCTGATGATGACAAATAACAGATTTAAAGGCAACAATGTGGTTTTTGTCCATGAACAATCCTAAAAGTGGTCAGTGGCAGAAACTGGACGTCTGATCGGTCGCTGTACGAGTAAAGTTCATTGAAAATTCACAATTATATGTAAATCATCATTCGTATATTAACTTTATAACAGTCATAAACAGCAATCAAATCAAATGCTCACTAACATAACTCGCTGTCTTATAATATCTGATTCATAAATCGTACGGAAGCTCATCTAAGATTATTATTAATCTGAATTCTATATGCCACATAGTCAAATTCGTTTGAACGATATTTATTAGTAATTACAAATTCAAGTTTTTATTTCATAAATGAAATCAATTTGTTAAAACAAAATTGTTGAATTCATTATATCGCAATTAAATCAAACTAATTGCCATTTTTAGGATTCATATTTTAAATAATTCAATTCGTTCATATTTTGTTTTAATTAAGCTTTTCGATATGTGATCCCAGATTGCAAATTCCATGAGAACAAAGTAAACACTTAAAAATATCAATTTAATTGTTTTCACAAATCCGACAATTCTAATATAAATTTTTGAATCTGTTCTCTCAAAATTTGCATTCTGCAACTGTGAACACAACTTGG